CCCCAAAACCCCAAAACCCCAAAACCCCAATTTATAGCAAATATATTGAACCAAGCTTCTACCAGATTTAGGTAGAATAAGCTTACTGGAAATCCTTGGATGCACTATTAATGAGTGGGGATATCTTCGACTATGATCCTTCCATGAAGTAGATATTCCCTCTAAAAGTGCAATCTAGAGTGTAAAAGATGTGTTTGCTCCTTTTATAATGACACTGCTATTCATTTGAGCTCTGTATGGGCCTCTTTAGAGCTATCTCATGAGGAACTGCCACAAAATCTTGAATACGACTTGATAGTATCACCTTGTCATTCAGCATCATTATCAAATCTAGCTAGAGAGTCTGTGTAAATGCATTTTTAATTGATATCTTTTTATAAATCTTATTCTTTTGATTTTAAAGATAGGTTTGCCGTTTGTGCAGTATTTTTCTTCCCAAAAGCATTTATCTTCATTCCAAAGTATTTGGTTCAATCTAAGCATCCCAAGTATAATAGTTTGGGTAATAAAGCATTTTTACCAAATATTTCATGCTAAGGTTCAATCTCTCTGTGATAATGCTAAGATGGATCTTCCTGAGAAGCAGTCCATCATAGCTCTTATTCGGCCTTTTGTCGCTTCATTTCGACTTCAAATTCAGCAATAAGATTAGACTACTTCTTTTCTGATTATGGGTTCATATGTTTTAGAGATCTAGATAGAAGAGACTGAGGTTATTTTTCCAGTATTAGTATTGAGCCTGAACACAACTTTTGAGTTCTCTCTGAGCTTCTCATTGATAATAATGTCTAGTTTGAGTCCTTTCAGTTATCTATTTTAGATTTTTATAACAAATCTCTGTGCTCGTTTAGAGAGTTTGATCTTGCATACTCCTCGGTAGGCAGTCAATGCTGAATGAAACCGTAACTTTTAGGATTACTTTCAATTAGCTTGGTAAGGCTCAAAATGTTTTGCTCATTTGTGGTTCTTTCAAAGCTCTCTTTCGATATCAGAATGTTCAATATAGAGTAAGCATGCAAATAAGCCATAAACTAATATGTTAGGCTCCAATCTTATCAGTAAAGTTTCCAAATCCAGCGAGAGATTAGTAAGTCATGGTCCTCAAGGCACAACTCTCTGTATAAATTCCATCGTTGGTGTATCTTCCAGCTTGGTTCTATTTTTTAGCAAAAAATGGAGATTTGGAAGTTGAAATTTTAGATCATGAAAATTATTAATGGCAGACTTATTAGTTATTATGTTGTTTTCTTAGTTTTATTTAAGGACTGCCACACTTAAATTTTTGAGAGCGATATTTATGGGGTTGACAGGTTCCCTGCGCAAAGAACTAGCGTGTTTTTATTATCTTAGGGCTGAGATGAGTGGTCAATATTTTAAACGTTAAAATAATTAGATTTGAATACAGAATTAGAGCTCTAAAGTTTTGAGAGCTTTGGGTATGAACTAAAAATATCAATTTTGAATATTCCTTCCCAGAATGAGATTATCGGGGTTTTGGGGTTTTGGGGTTTTGGGG